CAGGTGAAGAAATGAAGGCTTGGAGAGATTATTGTGCTTCGTAGTTACATAATTGGTAACAGCTGGCATTGCTATAGTTGAATTCAAATATGTAGGAGTCAGAGAAGTGCTAGCTCTTAGTCACTTCCATATTTATGTTCATAGTACTCTGTATGTGCCTCTCTCATTACATATTGTATAGTATCACTTTTATTTAGATTTAATATTCTTTTTTCCCTTTAAGTGTTTGAATTATGTATCATAACAAATTAGGGAATTCTTTTCTCTTGTACCTTAATTATTGCATGTAGGGTTTGAGTGACTGATATAAGTGGTTCTTTTCAGGTATTAGGAAGACACTGAAAAATTTTAGACCCTCAAAGGAATTAAGTACTTGTGACTATTTTGCCACCTATCATGTTTTCCAGTTTAACATTTTAAACTTCTTGAGGCTTTGGTACTTTGTCTTCATGTCAACTAACTACCAACACTTTGTTAGCTTGTTTACATGTAGTCTAGTGGAAACAGGACTGGAGCTAGAAAGAACTAGGAGTTCTCTAATTCTGTGCTATCATTTCCAAATGGGGAAATCATAATCGTTAGGAACCAGTTAGATTTAGAATTTCTGACTTAGTGTGATTTGAAATGGGAGTGGAAAATATGGATTTGGAATGTTTATGTCTGCTACACAGAAGTTTTTCCTGTACATACATGTAAACTCACCTATGTCCCTCTAAATAGTCATATAACTGTTTTTCCTCTGTCATTCATATAAATACAGAAGTCTCTTGGTATCAGTCAGGTGTTGGTTCTAGGACCCCAATGGTATACCAGAATCCACAGATGCTTAGGTCCTGTATGTAAAATGACTTAATATTTGCATACAAGTATACTTTAAATCATCTTTAGATTATTTCCAATATCTAAATACAATGTCAGTGCTATGTAAATATGGTTAAACCTTGAACAACATGGATTTGAAGTGCATAGGTTACTTATACTTGGATTTTTGTTAATAAATGTGTACTGCAGTACTACCAAGATCTGCCTTTGGTTGAAATTGCAGATGTGGAACTGTGACTAGGAGGAACCTAGCATAGGGAAAGCTGGCTGTGAGAGGGTCATTGTGTTGTTCAAGGGTCAACTGTAGTTGAAAATGCTGTGTAAATATAGTTGGTCAGCATGAGGCAAAATCAAGCTTTTGTTTTTGGAACTTTCTGGAATTTTTAAATACTTTCAATCCAAGCTTTGTTTGATTAACAGATGTGAAACTAGCAGACATGAAGGGCTGACTACATACTTAAAAAAAGTATTTTGGGAACTTAATTTGATACCTTGAAAAGGGTAATTTATGTAGAATTTCTATTATAAAAGCTTTAAGATATAGGCATTATAGATGGATTGACTGCTCATTTAAAATCCAGAAGACTCAAGTACTGAAAGGAGAAGGTAAAAGATGATAAATAAAAGGTGATGGAGAAATGCTTAATGTGAAGTAGTCCACTCTAGATATAAAATTTCTAGTATATTGGTGTTTAGTTTTCTAACAGTGAAGAAACTGAAGATAAGTAGTTTATCAAGTGGTTGACAAATAATGTTTGTTTCTCCAGATCTGAAAGGGCAAAGCAAGAAGATTAGCATATTGGATAAAGGCTAGAGGCTCATGTATGATGGTTGAGTTTTCTTGACTTGCCTGTGGCCTCTCTAATCAACACATTAGCATTTATGTGTGTTTTTAAGATGTATGTTTATTTTAAAATGTCTACATGTACCTGGTAAAGCATTCAGAAGAGGTTTGTAGTAAAAAGTAAGTCTGCCTTCCATTTCTGTCTCCAGCCATGTGCTCTTCCCTGGAGCAACCATTATTAACCATTTTCTTGTATGTTCTTCTAAACATCTTTCATGCGTGTTTAAGCATAAACGTGTGCATACATATACATTTTCTCATAGTGGCATTACACATGCATCTAGTTTTAAGAGACATTTTACAATTTATCTTGCAGGCTATTTCATATTAGAAAATATGTAGCTGCCTTTTTTTTTTTTGATACATGAACAATCTTTTGCATGGACATACCATAACTATCTTTTAACTATGAAGATTTTTTTCATGCATTGATGCAGTGACTGTTCTTGTACTTATGCCGTTTCACACATGGATGTATTTTTACAGGATAAACTCTTAGGAGTAAAATTGCTTGAGTCAGAAGGAATGCATTTTACATTTTGGCAAATATTACTGAATTGCTGTCTATAATAACTGTACTAGTGTACATTCACCAACAATGGAGTAGAGTTTCTATTTCTCCACACCCTTGTCTATACATAGTAATATTAACCTTTTTGATCTTTGTCTTTCTGATAAAATTAGTGTCTCATTGTAGTTTTAATTTACATTTCTTTTCTTTTGAATGAGATGAGTTTCTTTTTAAAAATCCATTTAAATCCACCCCACCTCCCCGTTTTGTGTGAGAAAGTTGGTCATATTCTTTGATTTTTATTCTGTTGGTCTCTTACTACTTTGTATAGATGATATATTAAAGGAAAATTTTTCTCCTTTTTTGTCTTTAAAGTTTTTTATGTATGTTTTAAACTGATGGAATTTATTGGAGTTTTATAACTTTTGGATTTTAGATCATATTTAGAGAGACTTTTTGTGCTTTGAGATTATAAAAAAGAGTCTCTTTGTTTTTCTTCTAGTATTTTTATGGTGTTATATCTTATGTTTGACCCATCTGGAATTTATATTGGCGTAAGGTATGAAATAAGTATTTATAGTTTTTTTCCCCCCAGATAGCTATCCAGTTATTTTGATACTTGTTGTTTGGCATATTTTTAAAAACACTTATTTGGCAGCACTGGGTTCTAGTTAGGGCACGGAGGATCTTTTTGTTGTGGCATGCAGGGTCTTTAGTTACAAGATCAAGTTTCTTGACCAAGGGTTGAACCTGGGCCCCCTGAATTGGGAGCATGGAGTGTTAGCCACTGCTACTGCTACTGCTAAGTCACTTCAGTTGTGTACCACAAAGTTCCAATACCTGATGTTTAATTAACATCTCCCTCTGTGGTGAAGAGCCTTCCAGGCAGAGAAAACAATGTTAGCACGGTGCCTGGCACTTAGTAAATACTAAGTGATAAGAGTGTTAGCGGTGTTAGTGGTGGTGGAGGTGTTGGTGATAATGATTATTTAAAATTTTTTTTTTTAATTGGCTGCTCTGGGTCTTCATTGGTGCACGAGGGCTTTCTCTAATTGCCGCAAGCGGGGGCTACTCTTTAGGGCACGTGGGCTTCAGTAGTTGTGGCTCGTGGACTCAATTGTGGCTGGAGGTCTTCAGAGCGCGGGCCCAGGAGTTGTGGTGCACTGGCTTAGTTGCTTGAGGCTTGTGGGATCTTCCTGGAGCAGGAGTTAAACCCTTGTCCTCTGCATTGGCAGGCAGATTCTTAACAACTGGACCGCCAGGGAAGCCTGATCATTCAGTTTTAAGGGATAAAGTTTTCAAGTGGGATTCCTATAAAGACAGTAGATTTAAGTGTGTTTATAGCTTATGGAGGTGTAACTGGTTAGAGTGTAGAAATACAGGAGAGAAGTAATGAAGGTTCTGGAAGAAAAGAGGTGGGTTCCAGAGTAACACACAGTAGTTAACCTTAAACATAAGACTGGAAAAAAGGTGAGAGGATGACTGATACAGATACAGAATGTTATAGATGTGAAGGTGATGTTGATGCAAATAACCAGTGACCCATAGTAAGAATAAAAGAGGGTTTTATTCCAACTCAACTGCAGACGGTAGCCCAGGAAACAACATCTCAGTAACTTGGGAGGAGCCAATATAAACATGAACTTTTTTTTGCTGGGAAATACATACAGTCAAGTGTACATGTTGGTAAAAGAGTACTGCTAATCACAAATGACAAATACCTCAAGTAAATGATGGTAGTGTTTTCCTGTGTATGGGGAGGTGCGAGAATCTGGTCGTCTTACCTGTCGTGGAGCCTGTAGATCCCCAGTGTAGGATGCTTCATCCTGTTTTTCCCATCCTAAATTTTCCTCAGGGTGTACTGTCAGTGGGTTACTGCAGTGGGTTGTGACTCAAGCTTTGTGTTACTACTGGATGGTGAGCCACACTCTTCTTTAATGGTAAAAGCAGATGTGCAGTGTGTTTGACAGGCCATAAGACAGGCTGTTTTTAGTTAGCATAAATTCAAAGACAAATCATGTATAAGCAAGAATGACCTTTCCATATCTCAGTATGTGAAAATTTCTTCTATTAGTGAAAAGTTGTTTTTTTTTTTAAACCTGGTTAACTTTTTTTTTTGGGGGGGGGCAACCATAACAGGGCTGATAATGCAAAACTGTGGCCATCTAAAAAACAATATTAAGGTGACCTCAAAATTCATTTCTTTGAAAGTTACGTATGAAGTAGGGACAGGTGACCACAGTTTCAGGGCTTGAAATCTCCTAAAATGCAGGAATAGCACAAAGTAATACCTCTCTCTTCCTTTCTCTCCTTTCTTCCCTTCCCTCATCTCTCTCACTCACACACAGTCTCTCTCCTGTCAGATGACAAAATTTTTAAAAAATTGGTAACAACTTTGGCATTCTTTACTCAAGGGAAAACAACCCATGGATTGTGGGGAGTTCAGTTCTCACTAGCAGTGAGGCAGTCTTCCAAGGGACTTCGGGCGAGAGAGAATTTTGCAGAATGTTGAAAACAGGCAACCCTGAAGCAGGGTGTGCTTGACTAGGAGGTTGGGGATTCCCTGCCAAGGCGTGCAGGTCCTATTTTGTGCAGGTAGGTGAGCACACCAGAGCAGAGTTGGAGGATTGGTTGGTGAGCGCACCAGAGCAGAGTTGGAGGATTGGTTGGTGAGCGCACCAGAGCGGAGTTGGAGGATTGGTTGGTGTTAGGTTTCCTGGATGGGTGTATCTGTAAGTGCGGACTGATGAAGGCTTGGGTTTGTGATACGAGCAGGGCCTGATTAAATGAATTAACTTCATCACTCCCCATATACATACCTACCCATAATTCCTGGGTCCTGAAGTAAAGTTAGAGTGAAGTCAAGGAACTTAGACATACCTCGGATGTGAGAGACCCTTCCAGTGATCTGTATGGTGATGTTGTTGGTAGAATCCAGGCAGATGAGCTGGAAGGTGGCTGCCAGGTGGATCCACTTCCCTTTCCACCTCAACTTTCTTGGTCGGGGTGGATGAAGTCACCTTTCAGGCAGGCTTATAGTCAAGCAGAACTGACCTCCCTGGTCAAAACTGGGAGAGGAGGCCGAGCTTTTGTCGGTGAAGCTGTTAACTTTGCCTCAAATTCCATAGGAGAGTATCACAGGGGAGAAGGAGCAACAAAAGTCAGATCCTGCCATTGATTTGCTTGCTTGCTTTTGAAAGTAGGAATCAGGGGCACTTCAGTAGGGGGTAATTGTATTGTAAAATACTTGAGTAAGAGAGAGATTCTGTATTTTTTACTTTGTTTCTCCTTCTCTTACAGGTCACCCTTGCAATTATGGATATTTAAAAGGATCAGACAGTGTGGAGGGGGAGTTCCCCTCCTCACTCCCCCTTGGTGCTTGACTCCAGGAATAATTTATAAACTGTGGAAAGTTTTCTTTTTTAAAGAAAGAACTTGTATTTGATATAAACTTTATAGAGCTATTTATAATTTTTTGATTTAAATGCCAAAATACATTGTACAAATCTATATAGTTTTATACTGTTACCAGGAGGGTTTAAATTATAACCCTAAGCAGGCTGTTTATTCTCTACCAGTCTTTCTGAATAGCACCTTTGTGGCCTGGCTTTTTCATTTTTTAAAATTATCTGACTATTCTGAAGAAGGAAGCTGCATAAAAACAATTAGGATGAATTCTTCCATCCCTGACTGCACATCAAAGTGTCGATCCCTGACGCATGCTCTGGACGTCCTTTCTGTGGTGACGAAGGGGAGTGAAAACCAGATTAAGGCCTTTGTCTCCAGTCATTGTTACAATGCTGCAACCATCAGGGATGCCTTTGGCCGGAATGCCCTCCACCTTGTTTCCTCCTGTGGAAAAAAAGGAGTATTAGATTGGCTTATCGAGAAAGGAGTGGATCCCTTGGTGAAAGACAAGGAGTCAGGATGGACAGCTTTGCATAGAAGCATTTTTTATGGACATATTGATTGTGTTTGGTCTCTACTGAAGGTGAGTGTCATTTGTTTTTTTAAAACTTTTCGGTCTGGCAGGTGTTTTTCTTAATCGCCACGAAGAGATTGGTGTTCTTATCAATTGATAAGAACTTGATATCTTTTACTATTGTAACCATATTTAGAATTATCCTTTTAATTTAAACCTTTTATGATGTGAAATTCTAAACATATACTAAAGTTTATAATGTAAACTATGGGCCAGTTTTGTGTTACATATTTAATATGTCTCCACTGACTTTCTCCACCCCATGTTATTTTAAAGTAAATCCCAGACATTTTGTCATTTACACAGTACTATATATCTTTCAGTATTTTTAAGAAGTATGGTTTCCTTTTCTATAACTGTATTATTAGCTACTTTAAAAGGGCACTAGTTATTGAAATCATATAAGGACTCTGATTTGAGTAGTGTGTTCATTTCTTGTTTGGCTAGGGATTAAGTTTTTACTGTTGTTTTTGTTCAGTCACTTAGTCATGTCCAACTCTTTGTGACCCCTTGGACTGCAGCACACCAGGCTTCCCTGTCCTTCAGTATCTCCCAGAGTTTGCTCAAATTCATGTCCATTGAATCAGTGATGCTGTCTAACCATCTTGTCTCCTGCAGCCTCCTCCTCCTGCCCTCAGTCTTTCCCAGCATCAGGGTCTTTTCCAGTGAGTTGGCTCTTTGCATCAGGTGGCCAAAGCATTGGGGCTTCAGCATCAGGCCTTCCATTGGATATTCAGGGTTGATTTCCTTTAGGATTGACTGGTTTGACGTTCTTGCTGTCTGTAAACAGTATGAGAAGGCAAAGTTTTTATAGTTGTTTGAAAAATTAATAATCAGAGTCAGTTTTGCATGCATGCTAGGGCTCTTCTGTCATGTCCGACTCTTTGTGACCCTGTGGGCTATAGCATACCAGGCTCCTTTGTCCATGGGATTCTCCAGGCAAGAATACTGGAGCAGGTTGCCATTTCCTCCTCCAGGGAATCTTCCCAACGAGGGATTGAACCCATGTCTCTGGCATCTCCTGCATTGGCAGGTAGGTTCTTTACCACTAGCACCACCTGGGAAGCCCAAAAAGTGTTAGTCACTCAGTAGTGTCTGACTGTTTGCAACTCCATGGACTGCAGTCCGCCAGGCTCCTCTGTCCATGGGATTTCCCAGAATCAGTTTATTTTAAATTTCCCATGAAGTAGATTAAATCTAGGCTTGTTGTACTGGTTAGACAAATAATGTTTTGAGACATAGCCCGATACCATTTCATTAATAAATGCAAGTTAAAAACTGTCAGAAATCATGAGTTTTAAACTGCACAGTTTGTTTTTGTATAGACATTCAGTTGTGTTTGTGGAGGACCAGAGAAGAACAAAGCAGTTCCTGTCCTCAAGGAACTTGTGGTCACATTGTAAGATATTAGGGAGCTTATATTTTATTTTTTACTTCAAAACAATTGTTTGCATAGTGGTCTTTAGGTAGTAACATTTACTGATCAAAATGATTTTCAGTATATATTAATGGCAAAATATCCTTTTTAAAGCTAAACTATCTAGGTCTACTACTTACCAAGTCGTCTTGGATGAGTTACTGAATCTTGAACCTCAGTTTCATCTATAAAAAGAGGATAATGATAGTACCATCCTCATTTCTTTTTCCGCAGGGAGTTTCAGTGAAGAAAAACTTTTCTTAAGTATTAATAGTACTGTTAATTCCTATTTTATCTAAAACCTTTGGGTATCAGTTTAATTCCCTTATTATAAACTCTTTTATAGGAAAAGTTAGGTTAATAAGAGTTAAAGCGTCTATCAGCTCTACTTTTGCCCTTTCCCTTTAGTTTCTGCTGGAAAATTGGATGCCTTGCCAGCCCTTACAAGCTTGAGAATGTCCTTCGGTTTTCTGCTGTCTTAGGGTTTGCCATTCAGGTGTGAGGATTTGGGTCTTCAGCTTGAAATAGGTCCTGGTATGAAGTTTGGACCTTCCCTGCCTTTGGGTTTCATTTCCCTTTAGAAATCCTCAGTCATCCTTGCTACCTTGGCTAGGAGAGGCCAGGAAATGGTGCCTTGGGCCACCTTGCTCTTGGCTTGACTCTGATTTTCATCAAGAGTCCTTCTGATCAGTGATAGACATCCAACATGGATGCTTCCCACTGATAAAATATCCCATAGAAACTCCTTTCTTTCACTGAGTACTCCCATGTTCTGTAATCCATCTGCATTTGTTTAGTTCAGACTTCTTTCCTTTCCCCTTTTAATTCTTTAATCGGAAGGGCTGCAATGATAGAGGTGTTTGTTGTCAATTTTGCTTCTGCTGACAACTCTAGCATTTAAGGTGTTATGGATGAGCAGGAAGAGACTATACAGAAAAACACATTTTAAATGAATTACGTTTGATAAAAACTTCATAGTATGAAATTTTAAAATTAAGTGCTAAAATTGTACAATAAATATATACCCATGCTGTCAGTTCCCAGTTGCCAAAGATGAAAACCCTCAGCAGAAACTTCTTATGGAAGAACTAGCTGAATCATAAGATTGTGTGGACTAAATGATAACCTATTTGTGAAGTATTTGGAACAGAAATTTTTCTTTAGTGCCTGATGTGTATTAGGCAGTGATCTCAGTGCTAGAGATATTGTAATGAAAAAAAAAAAAAAGAACCCTTTTTTGCTTTTTTTTTGTTGTTGTTGTTATGCTTAGATGCTGTTTAGTAAGCGGGTGAATTTATCTCCTCTTTGGGGGATATGTAAAGACTTGATCTTTAAATAAATGAGATAGACTATACACTGGTCCTCTACCTTTAGAGTTTAAAGTGAGCATGTTAAAAAAGCATCAGAGACCACCATATCTAGGGAACTCCAAAGGCAAAAAAAAAGTTCCTAGTCCTTTTGAAGTTGGGGCTACTTAAGAAGGTACAAATAGGGTCCAGTAAAGTTTTGGATGAATTTATAAAACTGGTAAAGTAAAATATGCAGGGATCTAAGTTTCTGGGATCCTGTTTGTCAAATTCATAATTTGGAACACTGCCCTGGAATCAGCCCTTTTTACTCTTTTAAAGGTCAAAATTAGGTCTTTCTATGTGGATTTATTATATCTAACTTAGAAAATAGGCAATATACATTTTTAAATTTAAGATCTTATTAAAAGATGACTTCTGAATTTTGTTTTATTTGTTAGCTCACTATCTTGAGTAGTTTTTGTTAATTGACAGTCCTTGTGAAATCAGTTGTCATTACCTTCTGGAACACAATGAAGTTAGGATTGGTATGCTGTTTAGTTGCTAAGTTGTGTCCATCTCTTTTGCAGTGCCATGGACTGGGTTTCCCGGGTGGCTCTGTGGTAAAGAATTGATTTTAGTTTATTAAAATTCATTGTTTCAAGATAAGAGGAGAGTCCCTTTCTTAAGTAACCCTAAACAGTGTTCTGACACATTACGGTTAAAGTTTAAAAATTTCATGGTTCCATCTCAACCTATAACTCCAGTGTGTATGGATAGGCAGTGATCACTCACATCAGTTAAAAGAGTTGTTGAGGGCTTCCCTGTGTTAAGTGGTTAAGAATCTACCCACCAGTGCAGAAGTCATGGGTATGATCCCTGCTCTGAGAATATCCCACGTGCCCTGGAGCGACTAAGCCACGCACCACAGCCGCTGAGCCTGCAAGCGGCCACCGCTGAAGGCCGCACGCCGAGAGGCCCTGGGGGGCCGCAGGAGGAGCCGCCACAGTGAGGCTCCTGCCTGGGACAGAGGGGCCCTGCTCCCTGCCGCTGGGGAAAGCCTGAGCACGGCCACGAAGACCTGGCACAGCCAAATACATGATACATCCCAACAAAAAGAAACTTAGATTAAAAAGTAATTGTTGAATGCCTTATTAAACTGTCAACAAGTACTAAGTTATTTTTGAAAAGGAGTATATTTTGTATTTAGAAAGCTGTAATGTAATAGTACTATGAATTGAACATTGTACTTTCTCCTCTCCTCTCATTATATTTTAAAAGACAGTGTACTAAGGATAGGGTGTACTAACTACCTTAAATAAATGGGATGGAAAATGTTCTATTTCATGCTTAAATTCTGGAGATATAAAACTATAGATTAAATTCATTCTTAAAACACACAAATGCACGCTTTCACATTTATTTATGGCCATACCACACATCTTATGGGATCTTAGTTCCCCGACCAGGGTTTAAACCTGTGCCCTCAGCCGTGAGTTTTAAGACACAGTCTAACTGTAAGTGATAAGACAATGCTGTGAAATTTCACGTAGAAAATTTTAAGTGGAAAGATATAAATCACACAAATAGAAATAAAAAATATAATTGTCTTCTTGTCAATAATAAATATAACAATTTAAGTCAAAAAGATGGAGCATAGGTGATCACATTATATACAGTAAATCTGAAAAAATAAACATACAAAAAGTAAAAACTATTGTTTGCCATTGTGTAGAAATATTTACACCCTTTATCTGGATGTGGAATTTGGTTCTTCAAATACAAAAAAAAAAAAAGAATTGTGTATGTACATAGACACACACTCTCAGAGTTAGGGCCCTCTAGGTAACTGACCTGCATTACCATGGAAAACTTTCGTATCTAGTTCATTTAGATTTTTGTTTCATTTTGGTTTTAAATGTTGCTTCTTTACTTTTTATGGTTCTTCTTTATTCTGCCAAGAATTGGATATTTGATTTCTCTTAGTTTTCTTCTGTATGAGAAATAAATGTTTATGAGCATAGGAGATAATTGTTATTAGGTGTTTATTTTTAATGTTCTTTATAGTTTGATCATCTGACTTGATAAATATAAATGTTACTGATTATAGGTAAATGATTAAAAATATATGCATGTATATCTATATCTATATGCACATTTTTTCCTTTTTTAGCATGGTGTTAATCTGTATATTCAAGATAAAGAAGGCTTGTCAGCTTTGGATCTTGTAATGAAGGATAGACCAACTCATGTAGTATTCAAAAATACTGGTAAGAAAATTCCATAAATATATTTCATTAAAGTAAAGTTTAGAAAATTTTAACAAAATTTTATTGTTGTAAAAATAACTGAGAAAATTTGTGTGTGGATATCTGCAAAGACTTTTACTCTAATATATATATAGATAACTGGTTTTCTTTCAGAACACTTAGGTTTATTTTATACTTTTTCAATCTAGATTTATGTGTATCAGAGTAAAAACACAGCCTTGAAGAAAGTAGGGAAAACCACTAGGTCATTCAGGTATCACCTAAGTCAAACCCCTTATAATTACACAGTGGAAGTGACAGATAGATTCAAGGGACTAGATCTGACAGACAGAGTGCCTGAAGAACTGTGGACGGAGGTTGGTAACATTGTACAGGAGCCGGTGATCAAAACCATCCCCAAGAAAAAGAAATGCAAAACGGCAAAATGGCTGTCTGAGGAGGCCTTACAAATAGCTGTGAAAAGAAGAGAAGCAAAAGTCAAAGGAGGAAAGGAAAGATATACCCATCTGAATGCAGAGTTACAGAGGATAGCAAGGAGAGATAGGAGAGCCTTCCTCAGTGATCAGTGCAAAGAAATAGAGGAAAACAATAGAATGGGAAAGACTAGAGATCTCTTCAAGAAAATTAGAGATACCAAGGGAATATTTCATGCAAAGATGGGCATAATAAAGGACAGAAATGGTACGGACTTAACAGAAGCAGAAGATATTAAGAAGAGGGGCAAGAATACACAGATGAACTATACAAAAAGATCTTCATGACCCAGAACATCACGATGGTATGTTCACTCACCTAGAGTTAGACATCTTGGAATGCAGAGTCAAGTGAGCCTTAGGAAGCATCACTACGAACAGAGCCTAGTGTAAGTGATGGAATTCCAGCTGAGCTACTTCAAATTTTAAAAGATGATGCTGTTAAAGTGCTGCACTCAAGCAAATTTGGAAAACTCAGCAGTGGCTTCAAGACTGGAAAAGGTCCGTTTTCATTCCAGTCCCAAAGAAAGGCAATGCCAAAGAATGTGCAAACTACTGCACAGTTGCACTCATTTCACATGCTAGTAAAGTAATGCTCAAAATTCTCCAAGCTAGACTTCAGCCGTATGTGAACTTCCAGATGTTCAGGCTGAATTTAGAAAAGGCAGAGGAACCAGAGATCAAATTGCCGGCATCCATTGGATCATAGAAAAGGCAAGACAGTTCCAGAAGAACATCCACTTCTGCTTCATTGACTGCGCTAAAGCTTTTGACTATGTGAATGACAACAAACTGGAAAATTCTTAAAGAGATGGGAATACCAGATGATGTTACCTGCCTCCTGAGAAACCTGTATGCAGGTCAAGAAGCAACAGTAAGAGCTGGACATGGAATAGTGAACTGGTTCCAAATTGGGAAAGGAGTACATCAAGGCTGTATAGTGTCATCCTCCTTATTTAACTTCTGTGCAGAGCACATCATGTGAAATACCAGACTGGATGAAGCACAAGTTGGAATCAAGATTGCAGAGAGAAATATCAATAACCTCAGATATGCAGATGACACCACCCTTATGGCAGAAAGTGAAGAAGAACTAAAGAGCCTCTTGATGAAAGTGAAAGAGGAGAGTGAAAAAGTTGGCTTAAAACTCAACATTCACAAAGCTAAGATCATGACATCCGGTCCCATCACTTCATGGCAAATAGATGGGAACAATGGAAACAGTGACAGAGTTTATTTTCTTGGGCTCCAAAATCACTGCAGATGGTAACACAGCCATGAAATGAAAAGATACTTGCTCCTTGGAAGAAAAGCTATGACCAACCTAGACAGTGTATTAAAAAGCAGAGACGTTACTTTGCCAGCAAAGGTCCGTATAGACAGTGCTATGGTTTTTCCAGTAGTCATGTATGGATGTGAGAGTTGGACTATGAAGAAAGCTGAGCACGGAAGAATTGATGCTTTTGAACTGTGGTGTTGGAGAAGACCCTTGAGAGTCCCTTGGACTGCAAGGAGATCAAATCAGTCCATCCTAAAGGAAATCAGTCCTGGATATTCATTGGAAGGATTGATGCTGACACTGAAGTTCCAGTACTTTGGCTTCCTGATGCGAGGAGCTGACTCATTAGAAAAGACTTTGCTGCTGGGAAAGATTGAAGGCAGGAGGAGAAGGGGACGACAGGATGAGATGGTTGGATGGCGTCACTGACTCCACGGACATGAGTTTGACCAAGCTCCAGGAGATAGAGAAGGACAGGGAAGCCCGGTGTGCTGCAGTCCAGGAGTCACAAAGTTGGTCATGATTGTGACTGAACAACAAATAAAGGCAGCTAGAATTGTAACTACTGTAAAGTGATTGATGTGCATTGAGAAAGGACAGTATTTGAGGTCGAAGGGAAAGGAAGTGATTCTTCTATCCACATGTCCGTTCTTGTAACGGCACTTATCTTTTCAATTTTTTTGCCCTGTGAGCTTTGTGAATGTAAATTGATTGAAAAGAAGAGATGTAGATGGGGGCACTAGTATAATCTGCATGTTAACCAGCGACAAGCTGGGTGAGGACATGTTCTTCATTTTACTTCTGTCTTGGGTACTGTATTCCAAGTTACAGTCATTATTCCATTGAAGACCTTGATAAGTGTTCCAAAACAAAAATGAAGATTTATATCATAATTAGCTGTGATTTTTATCCCATTTTCATTTTTGTTGCCCTAATCCCTAGTGTGATTTTGCATCTGTCAAGAGCAAACTATTGGAAAATAATGTTTATGTAATAATAGATACCATGTGCATTTAGAACCTGTATATATGAAATGTTTTAATGACATTCTACATTTAAATAGTTATGTGTAGTATTTTCATGAGAGCTAGGTGAATATGGCAGGTGGTATTTTACTCATTTGGCAGTTAAACCTTAGCTGCTAAAGAAACAAGGGTTCAACGTGTTAAATTGCCTTCGTTGAGACAGGCCTGTGCTGATTTGGATCTTCTGATTTCTGTTTCTAGAGTGTTATAATAAATTATAGATGGATAATTTACAAGAAAATTTTGGTAATATCTTTCTAAATACGGTAGTTTGGTTTTGTAAATAGTCATATTTGAAGTAAACTGATTAGTTCAGTATGTAATTAAACAACACTGATACTTGTTTAAAATGTGATAGAATATAAAAACTAATTTTCATTTTAGATCCTACAGATGTCTACACTTGGGGAGATAATACAAATTTCACCCTGGGTCATGGAAGCCAGAATAGCAAACATCATCCAGAGTTGGTGGATCTGTTTTCCAGGAGTGGGATTTATATCAAGCAGGTATTTTACTAATTCTTTTAAGATTTTGTTAGTCTTAAGCATAGTTAGACTGTATACAGTATCATAAAACTGTGAGATGTTTATGCAGTATTCTTGCCTGGAGAATTCCATGGACAAAGGTGCCTGGTAGGCTACCGTCCACGGGGTCACAAAGAGTCGGACACAACTGAGTGTTTAACACGTTCACGTTTGTGTAAGGAGCATTAGAAGTTAGAAGGCATTATACAGATAGTAGTTTTTTAGAGGTAGAACTTCTGTTGGATTTTCTAGCTTTATTTTTCCATTTAGAGTTCTTCAAATTGTTTCTCAAGTGAATTTGTTGTTCAAACTCAATTTATTATTAGTTTTAGGTAAGTGAACCTGAGTTGTTAAATATAAGTAATTGTAAAATTTTAATTGATAATTGTAAAGGTTTTGCCTTTGTCCTTATATCATAATTCTGGTTACCTCCCTCTTGAGTGTATTTCGCTACTATTGACCTACTCATCTTTTTCTATAATGCTCTGTATGTGTGTGTCTCTGTGTGTATAATACATATCTGGCCTCAGCGTTTCTTCCTCTTGAGCTTCATTTCAGTTGCACTCTGGATAGTCTTCAAAGTTTTAAGTTTAACTGAAGTGTTAATTTTGCCACTACCAGAGAACCTCTACTTAATAATTTTTAAAGCTATAAATCTCATTTTCTAAATACGAAAACTACACCTCAGAATATGTCTGCTGAGTTCTTTTCTCCGTTTTTTTCCCCCATTATGTAATCATAACTCTTTTATTCCCCCAATTATTTGGATGATAAATTATATAGCCACCATTATTTAGAGCTATGTAGGACACTGTTTTTTACACCAGAAGTCACTAATGTATCACAATCAGTAATTTAGAAAAAGTAATAGAGTTAAACCCAAGAGAATATTAAAATTGGAGAGGGCAAGAATAGGAGCCCACATGATAAAGAGTGATGAGAGAAGTAGAGTAGGGTGGTGTCCTGAAGCTTAGAAAGGCACTTGCTTTCCTTTTCTGACGTGGTATAGATACAGTCAGGTTTGGTGAGGGGAGGTTTTTCAGGAGCAGAGATTTTTACACAAATGTGCAGGAGCAGTGGAGGCATCAGGAGTAATGGGGCTGTCTACATAACCAGGCACTCAGTAAATAGTGCTGAATACTGCTTTCCTTCCTCTCACACCTATCCACAGTGTTTGTATTTCAACGCTTATTTTGTGGTTAAAAAAAATCCTTTACATCCGTAATTTCTTCACAAAGTACTCGGTGTCCTTGCTTTAACTGAAGTATAGCTGTGTCTCTGTGTACACTGTTTCATCCTTAACCCTACCAAGTGGATTATGCTCAATTCTTCAGGTCAGGTGTCCTGATTCTGGCTAGCCATCTTTTAATACAAAGACTTGGAAGGAATTGAGGATGCTGAAAGGACTTGGGACAGAACAGAGTCTTACGCCTGGGGCCAGGGTCTCTAGAGAAGGTGCAGGAAACTGTTAGAGTAGGGCTGGCTCTTCTTTCTCACCTACTTAAAAGCTTTCGGTAGACATTGATGATCAATCACAGCGCACACTTCCTCTCCCTTCCTCCTTCAGTCCCACTCTCTTCCCCGCCTCTCTGTTTTAAAGTGAATTGGGACAAGTCCTCAGAGTTCACCTGTCAGCAGCCACAAATGACTGATCAGAGTTGAGGCACTTAGAAAGGCTCCTGTTTTCCTTTTCTGACTTGGTACAAGATACAGTCAGATTTTGTGAGGTAAGATTTTTCAGGAGCAGAGATTTTTACACGAATGGGAAGGAGTCGTGGAGGCATCAGGAAATGGGCTGATTGTACCTTCTGATCCTAGGACACATGTGCTATAGAAGAATTGAGCATATTCCACTTGGTAGGGTTAAGGATGAAACTGTACATGAAGACAAAGCTACATTTCAGTTAAGACAAGGACACTTAAGTATTTCGTGAAGAAATTAAGGATGTAAAGGATTTTTTTGTCTTAACCACAAAGTAAGGGTTGAAACACAAACACTATGGATAGGTTTGAGAGAAAGGAAAGAAGTGTAAATTAGTAAGAAAAGAGGAAGCACGTTTTTGGCACTATTTACTGAGTGCCTGGTTATGTAGATAGCTCCATTCCTCATTGAAAAACAGCCGATTCTGTCCTACCAGATGAATTGACTGCCGTGGGACAGAGATTATTGTTGTTAGCATAATGTATTTCTGATAATTAAGATGAAAATCCATGATGAGTTGCTTCTTTAAAAAATTCAGAGGTTTTAAATTTGAAGGTCTTATACTCTGGCCTTGGTTGTTTGATGTTGTTGTTAGTTGTTAAGCCGTGTCTGACTCTTTTGAGACCCTGTGGACCGTAGCCCGCCAGGTTCCTCTCTGTCCATGGGATTTGCCATACAAGAATATTGTAATGGGTTGCCATTTCCTTCTCCAGGGGCACTTGCTTACCCAGGGATTGAACCCTGCACTGGCAGGCAGATTCTTTGCCACTGAGCCACCAAGAAGGCCGAAATTGGAAATTATAGGGGCGCTCTAATGTTGAATATAGGATTGAACAAAATGTATTATTTCTAGTTTCACAAAATAATATTTCCTTTACAGATTTTAACTTTGTATTACAAATTTGAATACAGTTTTTTATCTTATTTTTAGACTATCTAGATATTTGTGGTACAGCTAAATAAATGACTTTTTTTCTTTAATCAAAGACCCAGAGTCTTTTTTTTTTTTTTAGACCCAGAGTCTTTGATAAACTTTCTTCTGTAAAAAACAAGTCTATAAAAAAGTATTTACAGAACTTGCCAAGTGGTTAAGGATATGTGTAAATAGCATTTGCAATTCAGCTTATAATATTCTTATAAACAATTCTAGGATTTTTTATAAACAATTCTAGGATTTTTTAATTTCTTAATCCTTTTTTAATGTCCTAAGTTAGAAATATTTATGGATAGCATAAGAAATACAAATGCAAATTTTTTTAAAGATAAAGAATGTTAAATAGTATTTAGGTAAAATGAGTGTACTGATGATGCCTTGAAAAAAGCTTGAAAATCAGTATAAATTATTTAAAGCCATGTAATGATATTAAAGATATATTAAACATTTCAGAGATATAAAAAGGACATACTGTTCACCTACCACTCCCTCTGTATAGGTGATATTGAAAAAAATATTATTAACAGCATTTCTACTGTTTTCTCTAGTAGTATCTCACTATTTGGTAATCTTTATGCTTCATATTTTATTCCGTTCAATTCTTGTTGTGTGGGATTTTATGAAATTGGAAAACAGTTGGTTACTTTTTGTATTTTCCTTTGTTTAGTCTCTTCTGTGTTACACGTGCTTAATTCCTTTTAAATTTTTTTTCCCCATATGTCAGTGGTTTTAGACATAGTTTTAAAATAGACCAGTATATATTTTATATTTTTATTTCAGAAAACTTTAAACATGTATGAAGTAGAGAGAATAGTATAATGAATTTTGATGTACCCATTATCTAGCTTAAACAATTAGTAATATTCTGTATTTCTTTTTTATAAAAGACAGGATATTTTATACACAGACATTTAATAATATTCTCTTGTTTTCCTGTAGGTGGTGCTTTGTAAATTTCACTCAGTGTTTCTGTCTCAGAAAGGGCAGGTTTACACCTGTGGTCATGGTCCTGGAGGACGATTAGGCCATGGAGATGAACAGACATGCTTGGTAATTGAAATGTCACTATACAGTTTAGGTAACTTTGGTAAAATTTGATAGATTGGAAGCTTCACTTAACTAAATTTCTTTTTTTAAACTAACTGAAAGGAGAAAATAGTATACCAACTGTATACCAATAGTATATCAATGATAATTGATTTTAAAAGATGAGTTACTTTCCTGGTATATTGTGTTTAAAATAAAGATTTAAATATGTAAAATTCTAAAGCATCAAAAAAATTTTTCTTATAGCAAGTATTGAATCAGGAGATATAGTATATAAATAAGCTTTAAAATATTTCCATAGTTGAAATTTTAAAAGGAGTTTACTAATTGTAAAAGATTTTTTCTGTTGTAGTCCAGGATTTATTCATTTTTAACTTCTCATTAAGGTATTTTGGTCTAAAAATTGAGCCAATATTTTCATTATATAATCACAAAATTGAGTCAGCTACTGAAACTTAGTGCTAATTCTGGGGAAAACCTAATAATCATTACATTCAGAAAAATACCTTACTTTTAACTAAGGGTTTTGTGTTTTTTTGAGGGGACTGCTGGCATATTCATCGTTTAAGAGGTCTTTAAAAAGGAGAGAGCGCTATGATAATTGCTTCTATTATTTGAAGGGTATATTATGTGCTAGGCATTGTTTATGCTTTCCATTTAGTATTGTTACCTTGATTTAAGCCTTAAATAGCCTTGTGAAGTTATAGCCTTACTATCCTCATTTTATACATAATGACAATAGTAATAATAGTACTCATTTATCAGTTGTTTACTCTGAGCCAGAGATGGTTGTTTTGTGCTTACCAACTCATTTACTCCTTCTGTTGATCTTATTATCATCCAAAATACCATTATTATTTTGTGTTCAGATGAAGAAAATGAGAGAAGAGATTTTTTTGAGATCAAATAGCTGCTGAATGCGAAGGCAATGGGACCCCACTCCAGTACTCCTGCCTGGAAAATCCCATGAACGGAGGAGCCTGGTGGGCTGCCATCCATGGGGTCACTAAGAGTCGGACATGAATGAGCGACTTCACTTTCACTTTTCACTTTCATGCCTTGGAGAAGGAAATGGCAACCCACTCCAGTGTTCTTGCCAGGAGAATCCCAGGGACGGGGGAGCCTGGTGGGCTGCCGCCTATGGGGTCGCGCAGAGTCGGACACGACTGAAGCGACTTAGCAGTAGCAGCAGCAGCTGGTAAATGGCTGGATTAAGATTTGAACCCAGAACAGATGACTTTAAAGGAATATAACATCGTTTGGTATTCACTGAAGGGCTGTGTTGATTCCTGTATTTTTATTTATTGCTTCACACCACGAGTGAATACTTTGGTTAAAGAGTGCCCTTTGTTCAAATCAAACAAATTTGCACTTGGTGTATGATACATGATAAGGGCTCAGAATCATGTATCGAATCCAGTTGTTTTATTAAAATCTCTCACTGGGATTTCGTATTTTATTTGTAAAGCAATGTCTGTGTCCTATTTAATTTATCCCCCTCCTCGTTGAATTGTAGAGTTTGCCTATGATTGATACAGCCATATAGCAGTCATGTCATTTGGGATGTAATGTTCTCAGATTCTATTTGTGTGTTTTATATAAATGGTTAATGTAATATACCAAAGTTAATTGTATTTTGTAGGTCCCTAGGCTTGTGGAAGGACTGAGTGGCCACAGTTGCTCTCAAGTAGCAGCTGCTAAGGACCATACTGTTGTACTAACTGAAGATGGGTGTGTCTATGCATTTGGTCTAAATATTTTTCATCAATTAGGACTCATTCCTCCACCTTCCAGTTGTAATGTACCCAGACAGGTAAACTTCTCTTTTTTAAACAATAATGTGATCATTGCCATAAAACCTACATGGACAAAAGGATAGAAGGTGTTGATAAGAGCAACTTATTTTACCTATAGTCAATGGTATATGTTTATTAAATGGTATATATCTTATTTTTCATGGGAGAAATTGAGCATAGTACAAAGTAAAATTTGTTTGGAGTGAGAAAGAAAGCACTTGGGATATTAGGCAGCAATGTGCCGTTGATTCAACTTACAAGTGGTGACAAGCAGAGGGGGATCCAGATATTTGGGGTTTGAAGCTTAATTTTGAGGCCCTCTTTAAAAAAAAAATTTATAAGTAAAAAATGGGCTATGCAAATGAGGTACCCAGAAGCTTAAGCTTATGGCTTCATGGTCAATCTGTCTCTGCACAGAAATCACACCTGGCAAGTTTATTTGAGGGAATATAAGCCTGAAAGCCGCTGTTCTGTGTTCTCTTGTCCCTTTTTCTTTTGTACAGCTACCAGCAGAAGGTGACCTTTCCTCAACTTCAGGGACCTAGTACACAGGACAGGACTGGTGCTTTAAATTAATATATTACTAGAATCGTTTATTGGAGAAGGAAATGGCAACCCACTCTAGTATTCTTGCCTGGAGAATCCCAGGGACGGAAGAGCCTAGTGGGCTGCCGTCTACAGGGTTGCACAGAGTCAGCCACGACAGGAGTGACTTAGCAGCAGCAGCAGAATCATCTATAACACATGTGTTTTCAACTCATAAAATTTTGCATTTCCAGTATTAAATTTCTTCATTGGTTTAATTCTCTGGATTTAAAATGATTATTAGATATACATTTTTTTATTAATAAAGCTTTAAAATCCAGTGCTTTTGTATTCTGGATGGCTAGTGAATCAATAGTAATTACTCCAAGATAATGAGAGGTAGTTTCCTATCTGTGGTACTTAGAAGATCCATTTTCCTCAACCAACTGTGGAATTTGTAGCTATTTAATCATTTTGTAGACTTCTTTAGGAATGGTAGCTTTTACTCATTTTCATTCTCTTTGTGCGGCTGTCTTGGAGCTCTGGCTTGTTACGGACATATCCAGTGTTCTTACGTGAGGGCAGATTTGTGCCCCAGAGCCATTTGGCACTGTCTAGAGACAGGTTTAGGTCTAAAACGGGAGGAGCGGGGGTAGGGGTGGGGTTAGTGGTACTGACATCTGGCAGACAGAGGCCGGGGCTGCTGCCCACCCTCCTTGACACAGTCCCCCACAACAAGCATCTGGTTCAAACTGTCAGCAGTGTTACTGTTGAGAGACTGGATATGTCACATGTAAAAAGTACCATGTTTTCTAATAAGAACCAGAATGCCTGTTTTGAATATCGCTTGTTAACAAAAGTTTAATGATTTGGTGTATGTAAGGTTTTTCATATGTTAAAACTGCTGTGGCTGCACCAAAATGTCTTAGGTTCTGAGAGGAGTTGGGGTCAGTATTAGTGCTGAGATCTATTGGTGATGACTGCCGTTAGCACTTGAAGCGGTTATTGGCAGCAAGTATGCCCTGTATTGGCTACCCTGGTCTGCTGGATCTTTTGCAAAATTCCATTAGTTTATAGATACGTAATCAACTGAAGCCTCACTTGTCTTTTGAATAGATGCAGGCAAAGTATCTGAAAGGAAGGACAGTCATTGGAGTAGCAGCTGGAAGGTTTCATACCGTGCTGTGGACTAGAGAGGCTGTTTACACTATGGGACTAAACGGTGGACAACTGGGTAAGAAATCCAGGACGACAGGATCTGAAAAGTAAATTGTGTTCTTAAATGGACATTTTGTGATGTGTCTGTTGATGTAATTTTGTAGGTTACTTACTAGATCCCAATGGAGAAAAGTGCGTCACTGCGCCTCGGCAAGTCTCTGCCCTTCATCATAAGGACATCACTCTGTCTTTGGTTGCTGCTAGTGATGGGGCTACTGTCTGTGTTACCACAAAAGGGGATATTTACTTGCTTGCAGACTATCAATGCAAGAAGCTGGCTTCTAAGTATGTATATTTCTGTGAAAGAAACATACCTTAATAATTCAGCTCTTCCAGCAAATATCTGAGTTTCAGCTCTGTGTTATTCTCTGAAGTGTCAAATGGGTACATTGAATGGTGGGAAAGTCAAGAGTTTTTGCCTAAGATGATAATCTTAATCTTTTGGCAAATGTTCAGTAAATATATGTAAAAGTTCTTTGTAGGGTTGTAAAGAGTATCTCTGAATTATGATAATATATGGTTAAATATGACCTATAAGTCAGAGTAGGCGTGTGTAGGAATTCTAGAGAGTAGCCATCCAGCTTTTAAACTAATCAGGGATTTGAACTGAAATACAACAGAATGTGCTTTTGCTAATGTCAGTGAGATGGTAACTTCATGAACAGATACCGTTATGAACAGAAGATGTCAACCATCGATATATACAACTTATTTTCAGTGTATAAAAATTGGAAAGTTTTCAATTGTAAGGTCATATTTCAGTTATAAAAACATGAAAATGTGATCAAACATGTTTCTTAGAACTGATTATGTAGGTATCTTTCTGAGCATGAGATGATTTGTGGATTGTTAGAAGTTGTTTTTACTTTGCATTTATAAAACTTAACCTGACAACACTAAGTTACATAGATATGTTACATCATGTTTTGCCTAAGAAAATTCTTTTGTTATAGCATAGTAATTTTGAAAAGAAAAACATTTAAAAATATTTTTTAAAAATAATTTTTATTTTATTTTTAAAATAAAATGTAAAAATACAATATTATGTTATTTAAAATATAAAAATAAAATATTTTTAAACATTTAAAAATATCTGAAAGAGAGGACAGTCATTGGAGTAGTAGCAGGTTGATTTCACACAGTGTCATAGGCATCACATGTGTGGATATAATGAAATGTATAATGAATTGGCTAGTGGATGGGTTATTACATTAGCAACACCAATGGTAGCTATATCTATTTAAAGTTGTCCACATTTGAAATTAAGGATTTCTGTCTTGTTTTGAGGTTTAAATTTTTTCTGTTAAAACTGCAGATAACATATAGGAGCTTTTTCACCTTACCAGTTATTTAATCTGGGGAGAATACATATGTTAGTACATGGGGTTTTAGATACATAGCATGTAGCATGTGTATCTGAGTAGGTATAAACTTGCCATAGAAGGAGATGGTCATTGTGTAGGGGAAACTCATAAAAGGAGGGACTAAGGATACCAAAGGTCAAATCACCTTACTTTATCTTTCACAGCAATCACCCTAAAGTATTGTTTGAATAGTCATTTCTTTAAAATTGAGCTTGTATATTATAGCAAACATATTTATCTAGAATTTTTTTTTTGTTTTCATTCAGACAACTGAACTTGAAAAAGGTTCTTGTATCTGGGGGTCATATGGAATACAAAGTTGATCCTGAACATTTGAAAGAAAATGGGGGTCAAAAAATTTGCATTCTTGCAATGGATGGAGCTGGAAGGGTGAGTATATATTTATGCAAAAGCTTAGTAATCTTGTTCTCAGTTGATAGCTATAGAGGACCTGATAATGTAAAACTGTGTTGCTATGATAGTGGATTCCTACTGACTTGTTTCCCTACATGTTTTTGTCCCTACTTGTTTTTGATGTCCAGTACTAATTGGTTTGAAATACTAATTGGTATTTCAGAGAAAGCATGACCTTTCATGTTGCATAGTACTGCCTTGTTAAACTGTAGTTTAAAATTTCATTTATTGTGTTTAAAATAGAAGTAAGGGATTTGATGAGTTATTTGATAGATACAGTAAGTATTCAAAAATGATATTGAATTAAATAGATATGAGGTATATAACTACTCTAAAAAAGTAAAAAACTAAGCTGGCAGTATTAAAAATACATAATTGGAAATTTTCTCTCAAATTTGATCTTAAATGTATACAAAATATTATATATACAGAGATTATAACTATCATATAGAAAATATAATGTATTTCTGGATCACTATACAATCTCTGGGACTTCCCTGGCAGTCAGGTGGTTAAGACTCAACACTCCCAGTGCAGGGAGCTTGGGTTTGATCCCTGGTCAGGGAACTAAGATCCTGCATGCCACCTGTTGCAACTGAAAAAAAAAAAAGCCTCTCTTATCTCTTTTCATTTAAGTAAATAGAGTTGTAATTTTCATTTCTCTGATAAAATTGTCAACTGAAAATATGTATTATACATTAGAAACACTGAATAAGTTTTACACTGTGACTGGAAAAACAGATTGCTATCTGCTTTTTGTTTATAAAATATAAACATACAGTAAGTGTATTGAGGTTTTATAAAGTGCTATAAAAATTGACATTTTAGAAACTGAAGAATTAATCATAAAACTCCACCTCCTGGTACATTATAGGCATAAATCTTTGATTGATCATTTTATTTGAGGGAACTATCTTTAAGAATTAGAGATCTAATTTGTACTAAAAGAAGGAAGAAGAGGCATAGAATTACATTTAAAAAGTTGAATATTAAAAACATTTGACTTTGGGATATATTTCATGTACATTAATAGAGATCTAGATTGTTTATACATGTGGATATTTACTTCTTGTAAAATTAATAACTTTACTGTAATAATGACAGACAAGCTCTGATGGTATCAGCTAATTAGTAGAGTCTATATTTTGTGTATATTATTTGAGTGACCTTGGCAGATACCATTCTGTGCTTTAAGATTCTTAATTATGAGGGGATTGAGCTTTTCAAGATCAGCAGTATTAATTTTTCGAATGAAATTGTACTTGGAATGCCTGTCTATGATGTAGATGAAAAAAAAGGTTTGCTGCTCTAGATAGAGCTGGATTGGAAAGCCCAGCCCCTGGTCTCTTGTCATTTCCAGTCCTTGAGCAGCAGCCCCTTGGCCATTTCTCGGGAGCACTAAGGCTGGCAGAATCACGTGGAAGGAGCTGAATTCTATGATGATTGTTCTGTCTCTGAGATTTTGTTTTACTTGAGTTATGCATACATCTTTTTTTTGTTCCCCTCGAGAGTAAAGTTTGGATTTTCGTAGGGTGGTTTTCATTCTTCTTGTAAATATTACACTTAAGTCTGACGGTCAAGTTTTAGCATTAAGAATTTTGTTTTTCTTTAGCATATTGTATGCTTAACATTGTATGCTAAACATTGTAGCATATGTTTGCTCCAAATGAGTAACACTGAACATTACTTCTTAAGAGAAGTGTCTTTGAAGTATTTTTAATGCTTCATGTTTGCTTGATGTGTTTTCTGAGAGACACACCATCATGGCTTTTATATATATCTTTTACTATGGAAAAATGAACATTGAAGCATACTGAGAGCTCTTATTTTTTGAGGTAAGATTTGCTGATTTCATTTTTTGGTTGTTTAGATGCTATATTGCTTTCTATTCCACTGTAATTTGGTTTTATCTTAGGTATTTTGTTGGAGATCTGTCAACAGTTCTATGAAGCAGTGTCGATGGGCCTATCCACGCCAAGTCTTCATTTCTGATATTGCTTTAAGTAGAAATGAAATTCTTTTTGTCACACAAGATGGAGAGGGATTTAGAGGGAAATGGTTTGAAGAAAAAAGAAAGAGTTCTGAAAAGAAAGGTTAGTTCATATATGTGAATGGCATGTAAAAGTACCTTCTAGCTAATGTTTAATTTTATACTTATTTATTATTAGGTTTAACTGACAAGTGTTACTAGGTTTTACCTCTATATCTCTTCTTTTGATTTTGGTTTGTCTGTGTGCAGGTAAACAAACGGAATTCAATCCACTTAAATCCTAAATTTTCAACCTTATATCTGTCAGTGTGCCCTGAAATCATGGTAATTCTCATCAATAACAGAAGCTGAGTATTGCTAATCTCTAGCCTTGGCTCTAGGGACAGGGCAGTATAAAATTAAAAACAAAAAAACAACAAAAAACTTTGTAGGTGGATTTGAACAATCTTCCAAATTCCTTTTTCCCCCTCTCCCCAAATTGAGAATTGAGTGGCTTATGCTTTGGGGGTATTTGGGGGGGGTTTGTTTTGTTTTTTTACATGTTTGAATATATAAAATGAAACTTTCATAAGGTGTTTTAGGATTTAGAGGAAGATTACAGGAAGAATAAGGTTTTTATGTTCATTGAGAATTTTTAAAAGTTCAGGTAACTTTATTAAACAATTTATTTTAAGCAAATAAAATAATTGGAGGCAAGTTTTATTCATTCCTTGATGAATATAAAGGAGAGCTTTAAGATGCTAGCATGGAAAATAGAAGTTATTCATTACATTATATAGTTCATTTTTGATTTTCTGACTATGAATTTACAAACTTGTGGATTGCTTAACATTTTTTTTTTTAACTCGAGTAGTGGCTTTTTTCTTTCATCCATAGTTAGTAATCTGTTTTTTTTTTTTTCTTTTCAGAAAAACTAGAATTCATTTACCTCTTCACATCTCATTCCTTCCACCCTAGCCCAAGTCATATCAAATGGTCACTGCAAAAAATGTTTCCCAAACTCTTGTTTCTTTTTATTTATTCTCTTAGCAGAATGAGCTTTTAAGATCTGATCCCAATATTCCTGTGTTTAAAAACTTTTTGATGGTTTCCTCACTTCCTGAACATGGCCTACAAGGCTCCTGCTCTGACCCTTGTCTGCATCTCTGAACTCCTCTTGAGTTCTCTCCCTCTCATTACCACTCTCCAGACACACTGACCTTCAGGTATTCAGTCTTGTCCACTTGTGGTTAGTCCCAGGGCCTTTTCTATTTTCACATCTCAGCTTAATTTATACTTCATCAGAGTTGTTTTCACCGATTATTTAAACTTGGTTACCCCTTTTAACTTTTAATGTTCTCTTTGTATTTTTATCATGTAGCTTAGTTTTACTTGTTTTTATGTATTTATCTTTGTGATTATTTTTCTAATGTTGGTCTCCTATCATATCATAAGATGGCAAGGACCATGACGTATAGTCATTATATCCTCACAGTGAAATAAAGATTTCTTTGTAATCATTAGCATTCAGCATATTTCCTTCCCTCATTAAGTCATCTATTGAATGAACAAATTAGTTATTATATACTAAAAGATATATAAAGAACATTTATAATTACTCAGGAAATTATAAAAATATTCTTCAAAATTATAAAGCCACAAAGGAATGATTTTTGGATAGTTTATTGATTTGTAGTATTTTATTTCTTTATAGATTACACAAGTCTATAAACATTTAAGGTATATTTACTATGTGCTGGATATAGGGCTAGGTTTTAATGATACAAAAATATGTAAGGTGGGCCCCTGTTCTCAGACAGTCATGAGTTTGTAGGGGCAATAGATAGATTTATAAATATTTGCAGTTCATGGAGACAAATACTAATTTGCACATAATAAGTTTTTTGAGTGTCAGGAAGATCAGTAAATCCCTGTGAGTAAAAGGGTGAGTTTGAGGGTAACCAGAGGGACTCTGCCTTGTGTTGGAGCCCTTAGAACTGTGCCTTAGTCCTCTAGCGGTCTGAAGCTGGATTCACGCGCTCATGCTGCGTGTCTGCTTCTCGCTGGTTTTAGGGGATGGCTTTCACGCCCTGTTTCCCCTCGCCCTCTACAACCCACTGGTCACCAGGTTTTGTCACTTCCATCTCAAATAGTTTTGAAATCTCCGCTTTCTCTAGTTCCATTGCTACAACCTCAGTCTTAGAGTGTTCTGGACTCTTAGTTTTGTCAGTGATCTCTTTGTCTTTATTTGCTTTAAACATGTTTCATACTACAGGCAGAAACATTTACTTGTATGCACATGCCATATTTTTCTTTCATATCCCTGATCTGACTTGTACTGATAAAATCATTTAACATCTGTCTTCTCTGCTTGATTGTATACTCCAAGATTGTAGAGGCATCTGTCTTGTTCACTACAGTATTACTAGGGCTACATTGAAAAGTGCCATATCACCATAGCACATGTGGTCATTCAGATATTTGCTAAATAAATGGAAGGAAGGGGGAGAAGAAGGGAGGGAGCAAATACAATTTTTAATGGAAGCTGAGGAACTTTCAACGGTAGTATAACACTGTATTTGCCTTTTAGACAGCTTTGGTTGCGGTGTGGAGGACACAATCATGAGTAATTGGAAAAAGAAGAAAAATTTTTTTTTTTCCATTTATTTTTATTAGTTGGAGGCTAATTACTTTACAACATTGCAGTGGTTTTTGTCATACATTGAAATGAATTAGCCAGAAGAAAATTTTTTAAAAATCATGAATAAAGACCTGAAAGAGGCTCCCGCCACTTTCAATACTGAAAATAAAATAAAACAAAAATCATGAATAATTGAGAATTGACCTACCAAAATTTCTTTTATCAGACGAATAATATATAGGGTGTAAATTATGTTGAAGAGAGAGAAGATGTAGTTCTTCAAAAGGACTTAATGCAGGCAAAAGATTTCCCTGTTCTCCTAATCATTTTTGTATTCCATTTACTCCTAAATCATTTTAACAGTTTCAATAAAGCCTTGATTAATGAAAGTTTATTTTTTTCTTTTTATCAGAGATTTTATCAAACCTTCATAATTCCTCACCAGATGTGTCTTGTGTCTCTGATATAAATAGTGTATATGAAAGAATTCGACTTGAGAAACTTACTTTTGCCCATAGAGCTGTTAGTGTCAGCACAGATCCAAGTGGATGCAACTTTGCAATCTTGCAGTCAGATCCTAAAACAAGGTAAATGTACACTTGTCTATATTAAATTTCATTTTTAGAAGGAGCAGTCATTGGGTTTTCTTTTGTTTTCAATAGCTCCTGGTACAGATTTAATTGAAGAGCTGTTGTCAAGTCTTGTAGAGACTTCAGACATATAATCCTATTACTAGGTTACCTCAAAGGTGGAATTTGTTATATTGCAAATTATGAGTGTTTGTTCTTGCAAAAGGATATTTATTGAAAATGTTGAAGGTAATATGTACATACACACAGAATTTATTCATATCTTTGGTACTTCATGAGGTCCTGTAGGTTCTCAGATTTTGGGAAATATAAATATTTGTTACATAGTTTACAAAACTTTCTGACCATTGAGTACAGTGGGAAATGATAGAAGAGGTAGTGTAGTTTTGGAGGGCATTGTGAATCTCAGTGCAAATCTCCTGTCAGGTTAGTACAGAGATGACAGGTTTAAGATAAATATCAAGGGTCTTATTTAAGAGGGGAAAAAGTCCTAGAGACAGGATTATTATTCCTCCTGGTTTGCCCAGGTCTGTCCCACCTTGAGCACTGAAAGTTTCCTCTCCTGGGAAACTGCTCAGCCCCAGGCAGACCAGGGGACTTGGTCACCCTACCAAGAAGAGTGAAATGTAGATTGGGAAGGTACAATTGCATGCTTACAGTACTTAAAGAACCATGGTATGGACTGATGTATGTGTGTATATTTATCTTTATTTCCTTGAGTTTCTAACTTATTCTGGGATCTGGGACCTGAAGTATTTATTTGCTGTTCTGTATATATTCTTCTCCACTTGTGACATGAAAAAATATAAACAGGAAAAGGTTGAACACTGTACTGTACTCTTTTTGAATGTTTTTAGTTATACTTTTAAAAATACATTTAAAGAATTTCTCCAGAAGTCATTCAAATTTATGTTTTAGTGTTTCCTTATAGAAACAGAAAACTCTCCTTTCAAAGGAAAATTTAATTCTAGTCATGTTAGTTTAGAGGAAATAAGATACATAAACGAATAGAAAATATTTAAAGGGTATCTAAAATTATGTGCAATATTCTTATCAGAAATGTCAAATGAAAGATTTTCTAAGTTTAATAAGTAAAAAAATTATACCTAAGGAGGGATGCTCTTGGTTTTTTGTGTTTTCTTTTCTTTTTTTCATTATTTTGAGAGTAAAAATAATTTTTGTTTTATTTCTAGCCTTTATGAAATTCCAACTGTGTCCTCCTCATCCTTTTTTGAAGAGTTTGGCAAGCTTTTGAGGGAAACGGATGAAATGGACAACATCCATGATGTGACATTTCAAGTTGGCAGTAGACTTTTCCCTGCACATAAATATATTTTGGCAGTGCGTTCAGACTTTTTCCAGAAATTGTTTCTTTCGGATAGTACTGCATTAGACTTCACAGATGTTTACCGGAAAGATGAAGATTCTGCAGGCTGCCATCTCTTTGTGGTAGAGAAGGTTCATCCTGACCTGTTTGAATATCTTTTGCAGTTTATATACACAGATACTTGTGACTTTTTAACTCATGGCTTCAGACCAAGACTAAATTTAAACAGAAAACCAGAAGGATATCTGGGCACTCCAAATTGTCATTCAAATAAAATGAATTCCCATGAAGATAATCAGAAGTCAGCATTTGAAGTTTACAAAAGTAATCAAGCTCATACAATTAGTGAAAAACAGAAGAGTAAATCCAAATCTTCCAAAAAAGTGAAAAGTGTTGGGGAAGATGATCCTGTAAAAATGTTACAAAATGTCGCAAAGAAATTTGGTTTCAGTAATTTAAGTAGTAGGTATGACTCCTCCTTAGTATCTATTCATGTACCTCATTATGTCTTCCTTTTAGAAATTCTGCTTTTTTTTTTTTTTCCCCCTGCTCAGCTTTAGTTTGCTTTTGCTCCTGCTGCTGATCTTGGTTCTTCTCTTCCCCTCCCCACCCTCCTCCATCCCCTTCTCATCTTCCTTTTCTCTTTCCCTTACTTTCCCTCTCTTTCTCCTTTTCTCTCCCCCTCCCCTTTCTGTTTGGATCTGTTTCTTTTCAGGGACCTGTGTTTCTCTGTTTTCTGCTAAAGCTATCTCTAGAATCCCTGGATTAAAACATTAAAGGATAGGAAGGCTATTCGTGGATTTGAACTCTCATGGTGTCTCTGTAACAGGGATCTGGAGTGGCAGGTGGTGTGGTATTCTGCAATGAGTACTGTCTTTGGAGTTAGACCTATATGTGCCTCTTAGCTCCACTGTAACTAGCTAGGGCAGATTTCTTACTTCTTTGAACCTCAGTTTCTCCGTAGATAAAATGAGAGGGATAATGTTTACCTTATATTATTGGTGTAGTTTGGTCATAAAGCACGTGTACAGTGCTTGACAATATTTCTCGTCTTACCAAGCAGATTTTTTTGAATTCTCTATTTTTAAGGTATTTATGTTGCCTGTGGCAGGATAACCTTAGTTGTGTGGCAGGAGCCAAGGGAGGAGAGTTTATCATGTTTTCTAATTGAAACCATAAAGGGTTTTGTGTCATGGCTTTCACTTGTTTTTTTGCCGGTAATGATGTTTAACACATTTTGAATATTAAGTAAAATTAAAGGAGGCTGTATGACTTTATCACAGAGCGGGTGTTTGCTGAGATACTCTTTTAGGTGATACAAATTATATAATCATGTTTAGATGTGGGCTCATTTGTTGGATTTTTGTTGTTTTGGTCGGGGAATATAGTTGCCAATTGTTACTTTTTATCCTTGATAGGTTAGATGGAGTCAGATATGAAAATGAAGAAATTAGTATCATTGCCAAGAAAACTGGTAGTAAACCAAAGCTAAATCAGAAAAAATGGTAAGTTAAGAAATGAAGATAAACTTTTCATCTCTAGATTTTGGGAACCTGACTGGAAATAGAGCTCTCTTTATTTACACATGTATGCAGCAAAATGTGTATGTGGATACCCTCTCACCTTTATTAATCTTTTTCATGTCTGGAAATGTTGGAGAATTGTTGAGGCAAATGGGTAAAATATTAACTGCTCAGTAAGACATAAGAGTTCATTTTTTTTTTTTCCTGATTACTTTCTAATGAAGACTTTAAAAAAATTTCCCTAAATTTTGTATTTTTTTTTTATAAATAGGTAATGATGTTAACCCAGAAACCAAAATAATTATGCCTCTTCTCTTCATCATTATGAAGATTATTTCCTTTAGTATAAATTTTTTCCAAAATAAGTATATTATTCTAAATATGTTTATTATTAAACATTTTTATTTTTAATAAATGGATAAGGAAACTGTGGTACATATACACAATGGAATATTACTCAGCCATTAAAAAGAATACATTTGAATCAGTTCTAATGAGATGGATGAAACTGGAGCCCATTATACAGAGTGAAGTAAGCCAGAAAGATAAACACCAATACAGTATACTAACACGTATATATGGAATTTAAAAAGATGGTAACGATAACCCTATATGCAAAACAGAAAAAGAGACACAGATGTATAGAACAGACTTTTGGACTCTGTGGGAGAAGGCAAGGGTGGGATGTTCTGAGCGATAGCATTGAAACAAGTATACTGTCAAGGGTGAAACAGATCACCAGCCCAGGTGGGATGCATGAGACAAGTGCTCAGGGCTGGTGCACTGGGAAGACCCAGAGGGATGGGATGGGATGGGATGGGGAGGGAGGCGGGAATGGGGATTGGGATGGGGAACACATGTAAATCCATGGCTTACTCATATCAATGTATGGCAAAAACCACTACAATACTGTAAAGTAATTAGCCTCCAACTAATAAAAATAAATGAAAAAAAAAAGGTTTTTATTTTTAGGTATTTGTCTCTTGTAGGTAGAAAATTTTAGAGAAAAACCTGGTTGTATATAGACTGTGCTTAGCATGAAATAGGTTGTACAAATAAAAGTGAATTAATGACCTTTGACTGTGATGCCACTTAGTGTCATATTAATCAGCACCTGGCCTGTATTGAAAAAGGAAAATTAGAAAAGACTTTCTTGAATATTTATCTGTATGCAGTTCCTTTTACAAATACTATCTTCATTGTAAGGCCTTATTTTTTTCCCTATAGTGGGAGGAGATAAAATATTTTATTTGTATGTATACCCTCAAGTTGTTTGTTATATGCCACCTTTAATTAGGAGAAAATCAAAAGTTAAGACAATTCCTAAAGCTTTTGCTTCAATTAAACTTTTTTTTTTCCAGTTCATTTTTATGTGATGTGACCATGAAATCAGTGGATGGAAAGGAATTTCCTTGTCATAAATGTGTTCTTTGTGCTAGACTTGGTAGGTTTACTTTTTTGTTGGTTGCAGATTTATTTGTTTTGGTATTGTTTCCTATTCTTAATTGATTTTTTTTTCTTTCAGAATATTTTCATAGTATGCTGAGTAGCTCATGGATTGAGGTAAGATTTAAGTAGAAACCACATAGACTGCTAATTATGCTTTATATTTTTGGGAAATTATACACTAAGAAAATTTTAAAATATTTTCAACTCAGTTTTTCTTTTGTATTGACTTTATTTATGCTTAAACTGGCTGGAAAATAGCAATTTTTTGAAATTAAAGTTGTTGCAAAATGAATTTTCCATTATTATTTGGAGTTATATGTGGAATACCAGTTTGTTTCTTTTTTTCTCAGATTTTCTTGATTCTTTTTCATGTTACAAGGCATTTTAAAATTAAATGTATCTCATTTTAGCTTTGTGTTTTAACATTATATTCTTTTGCAACTGATACGATTCCTGTTAAAAGTTTTTCATACTGATCACCTCAGTCAGATTGCAGTGTTATTTTGTAGTTGAAAATTAATTGTTTTACTTTTATTTAGGCTTCCAGTTGTGCAGCTCTGGAAATGCCAATACATTCTGACATACTAAAAGTTATTTTGGACTACCTCTATACTGATGAAGCTGTTGTGATCAAAGGTATTAATAAAAGTTAGGACATTTTAGATATTTAAGATACAGTTTAAAAATGATAAAATTACACAAATCTTAGTTTCTGCTTTAATTGAATTAAGCAACAAAGGCTTAAATTTAGAATAAACAATGCAGATGATTACACAGTAAAGGAATGGAATAGAAAATTTTCATTACCTATGTGAAAATGAACTCTATAAGAATTGTTAACAATGGTTGAGATTAGATTTAACATTTTCATACCCAGCTACTTACATGATTGAGATGAAAAATTGACAACAGGGAGTATAGTTCTTTCTTGTCTGTTTTTCCCCTCATGTAATGTGTCTGAAGTAAAATAAATAGACTAATAATTGAATTGAACTTTATAAAGAGGATGCATTTATATACTTTGTCAGGAACACACCCGTGTTTTATTTACCAGGTGTCTTTAGTCACAGGAGTGATACACTCTGTTTTCTGTATATACCAAATTTTCTTAATCAGTTTGTTGATGGACATTTACATATTTCTGTACTTTAACTATTGTGAATAATTTTGCAGTGAACATGGTAATGCAGGTGTATCTTCAAAATACAGATTTCAGTTCCTTTGGCTAAATACTCAGAATTGGGATTACTGTATCGTATGATAATTCTAGTTTTAATTTTTTGAGGAGGCTCCATATTCTTTGCATAGTGGCTTTACCAGTTTACACTCCTCTCAGCAGAGCAGAAGAGTAACCTTTTCTTCACATCTTCACTTGTTATCTTGGTTTTTTTTTTTTTGATAATAGCCTTCCTAACAGATATAAGGTGACATCTCCTTGTGGTTTTGATTTGCATTTCTCTGATAAACAGTGACGTTGAGCACTTTTTCATTTACCTGTTGGCCATTTGTATGTCTTCCAAGGACAAATGTCTAAGATCTTTTGCCCATTAAAAATAAAGTTTTTATTTTATATTGGACTGTCATTGATTTATAATGTTGTATTAGTGTCAGGTATACAGGAAACTGAATCATTTATGCATATACATGCATCCTTTTTCAAATTCTTTTCCCATTTAGGTTATTGCAGAATACAGAATATTCCCTGTGCTATACAGTAGGTCCTTGTTGGTTATCTGTTTTGAATATAGTAGTATGTATATGTCAATCCCAAACTCCCAATTTATCCTTCACCCCAAGCTTTCCCTTTTAGTAACCTGAAGTTTGACTTCTAAGTCTGTAGTTTTTTTTTGTTTGTTTGTTTGTTTTTGCTATTGAGTTTATATGAGTTCTTTATATATTTTGGACATTAATCTCATGCTTTGCTATTATTTTCTCCCATTCCAAGGTTGCTTTTTCATTCTATTGACTCTGGTGTGATTTTTGGTTTCACGGAACACCACTTGTTTATTTTCACTTTTGTTACATGTGATTTTGGTACATCTAAAAAAATCATTGCCAAGGCCAGTGTCTAGGAACCTTTCCTGGTTTTTCTTCTAGGAGTTTTTTGGTTTCAGGTCTTAGATTTAAATCTCTAGTCCACTCTGAGTTGATTTTTGTCCAGTTTCATTATTTTGCATGTGGATATTAGTTTTTCTCATATCCTTAACTGAAGAGACAGTCTTTCCCCATTTTGTATTCTTGACATTCTTGAAAGAGGTTAATTAGCTGTATACATGAAGGTTTATTTCTGGCCTGTTTTATCTCATTGGTCTACGTGTCTCTTTTTATGTCAGGGTGTTCCTGTATTGATTACTCTAGCTTTGTAATGGGACTTTGAAGTCAGGAAATATGACAGCTCCAGTTTTGTTGAACTTTTTCAATATTGCTTTGGCCATTTCTGGTCTTGTGTGGTTCCATGTGAATTTTAGGATTACTTTTTCTGTTTCTATGAAAGGTACCATTGGAACTTTTATAGGATTTCATTGAATATGTAGATTGCTTTGGGTAGAATGGGCATTTTAATAATATCAGTTCTTCTAGCCCATGAACATGAGATATCTTTCCATTTGTATCTTCTTTAATTTGTTCTTTCAATGTTTTGTAGTTTTCAGTATGCAGATCTTTCATTTCCTTGGTTAAATTTATTCCTGAGTGTTTTATTCTTTTTGGTGTGATTTAAAGTGGATTGATTCCTTAATTTCTCTTTCTCTTAGCTCAGTGTTAGTGTATAGAAGTGCAACAGGTTTTTGTATATTGATTTTTTTACTCTGCAACTTTATTCATTTATTATTTCTAATAGTAAAAGATGCCACCAAAATACTATTAAAAATAATAAATGAATAAATTTACAGGGTTAAAAACAAATACACAAAAACCTGTTGCATTTCTAATTTGTCAACAGTTTTTATGATGAATGTATGTTGACTCACAGAGTTGGACATGACTGAGCAACTGAACTGATATTGAATTTTATCATGTGCATTTTCTGCAACTATTGAGATGATCATATGATTTTTAACCTCTATTCTGTTAATGTTGCATATCATCTATATTGATTTGCACATTTTGAACTATCTGTGTATCACTATCTGTAAATCCCACTTGATTGTGGTGTATGGTCCTTTTAATATGCTGTTTAATTGTGTTTATTGGTACTTTATTAAAGGTTTTTATATACACACTCATCAGGGATATTGTTCTGTAATTTTCTTGTAGTGAACTTGTCTGTCTCTGGTAGCAGGATAAGGTTGACCTCATAAAGTGAATTTGCAAGTGTTTCCCCCTCTTTGATTTTTGGGATTAGTTTAAGAAAGATTTATGTTAATTTTTCTTTAAATATTTGGTAGAATTCACTGATGAAGCATTGTGCTTTTAAACTTTTCCTTATGTGGAAGATTTTTGATTGCTGATTCATTCTCCTTATTCTGTTATTAGTCTGTTCAGATTTTCTATTTTATTATTCAGTTTTGGTATGTTTCTTGTTTCTAGGCACTGATCCATTTCTTCTAGGTTGTCCAGTTCATTAGCATATAGTTATCCATAATAGTCTCTTATGATCCTTTATATTTCTGTGATGTCATTGGTAATGTTTCCTCTTTCATTTGCAATTTTATTTGAGTTTTTTTCTTAGTCTACTTAAAGGTGTGTTAATTTTCTGTCTTTAAACAAGCAACTTTTTGTTGGTCTTTTCTCTTGCTTTTCTGGTGTCTGATTCATTGGTTTCTGCTCTATAGTATTTCCTTCCTTCTGCCAAGTTTGGGTTTTTTTCTTTTCATAGTTCTTTGTTGTGTAAAAAGCTTCAAAGGTTGTTCTTTTGAGTTTTTTTTTTTTTTTTTTTTTTTTTAGGGCATTTGTCAGTATAAACATCTTTCTTAGAAATTCTTTTGTCCTTTAAATTTTGATATGTTGTGTTTCCCATTTTCCTTTGACTCAAGGTATTTTCTTTACTTTGTCTTCCTGGTTATTCAAGACCATCTGAATTTTCCAGTTTTATTCCTATTTTTCTAATTTATGCCCTTGTAGTTGGAGATGATACTTAATATGATTGCAGTCTTAAATTGTTGTTTTGTGGGTCTGCACATGGTCTCTCCTGCAGGGTGTCTTGTGTACACGTGAGAAGAATGTCTGTTTTGCTGCTGTTGGATGGAGTATTATATATGTGCCTGTTAAGGTGATTTGGTCTATAGTGTTAATCATATCTGCTGTTTCTTTATTAATTTTGTCTGGGTTATTCATACTGAATATGGAGTATTGAACTCCTCTATTATTGTTAAAAATATTTATGTTTACTTGTTTATTTTTGGCTATGCTGGGTCTTTGTTGCTGCCCATGGGCTTTCTGTAGTTGTGGCGAGTACGGGTTGCTCTAGTTGCAGTGTGTGGGCTTCTCCTCCTCTTGTTGCAGAGCACAGGCTGTCAGAGCTTGGGCTCCGCAGTTGTGGCTTGTGGGCTCTGGAGTGCAGGCTTAGTAGTCTGGCACATGGGCTTAGTTGCCCCGCGGCATGTGGGACCTTCCCAGACCAAGGATCAAACCTGTGTTCCCTGCATTGGGAGGCATTTTTTTAACCACTGGACCACCAGGGATGCCCAGAGTCCTTTCTATTATTGTATTCATGTCCATTTCTGCCTTCAGCTTTTAATAGTTCCTTTATATAGGTGCTCCAACGTATCTAATGTAGTTTTTTCTTTGTTGTTACCATGAGGCTTACATGTGATATAATCATGGAACTGAAAGTGTTAGTGGCTCAGTCATAGCTGACTTTCCGACTCCATGGATTGTAGCCTGCCAGGCTCCTCTGTCCATGGAATTCTCCAAGGCAAGAATACTGGAGTGGCTTGCCATTCTCTTCTACTGGGGATCTTCCCAATCCAGGGATGAAACCCAGGTCTTCTGCATTGCAGGCAGATTCTTTACCATCTGAGTCACCAGGGAAAGCAATAATGTAATTATAACAATCACAACTTTTTTTTCTGTATTTCTTTTTTTTTTTTCTGCTTTTTACCTGTTTTTTTTTTTTTCCATTTATTTTTATTAGTTGGAGGCTAATTACTTTACAATATTGTAGTGGTTTTTGCTATATGTTGACATGAATCAGCCAGGATGTATGAGACAAGTGCTTGGGGCTGGTGCACTGGGAAGACCCAGAGGGATCGGATGGAGAGGGAGGTGGGAGTGGGGATCGGGATGGGGAATACATGTAAATCTGTATTTCTTTTAATTGCTGTATGGTTAATTTACAATGTTAGTTTCAGGTGTACAGCATTGTGGCTCAATATTTTTATTGATTATGCTTCATGTAAAGTTGTTAAAAAAAACAATGTCTTTATTTTTCTGTACTATACAATATATCCTGTTGCCTTCTCATTTTTTTTTTCTTTTTTCATTTATTTTTATTAGTTGGAGGCTAATTACTTCACAACATTGCAGTGGGTGTTGTCATACATTCACATGAATCAGCCATGGAGTTACATGTATTCCCCATCCTGATCCCCCCTCCCACCTCCCTCTCCACCCAATTCCTCTGGGCCTTCCCAGTGCACCAGGCCCGAGCACTTGTCTCATGCATCCCACCTGGGCTGGTGATCTGTTTCACTATA